GGGCAGCTCAGCTTGGTCAGATTCTGCAGCAATTGCCTCAGTTGGCTCGACGAGAAGTGTCCTGATGACGAAGAGTTCGACGACGTCGTCTCGGCGATGACGACGTGCTTCAAGGCCACCTTGCGCATCGCCGACCCCGTGCGCCTGGAGTGCAAAGGCGCGCTGCTGGAGATGACGGCTGCGAAGTCGACGGAGGTTGGCAAGGCGCGCTTGCGCCACATGAGCTCGGCGGCGAAGCGGCCGGTGCACTGCGCAGCGCTCAAGGCCAATCCCGCCTTAAGCGTCCGAGGGCGGGTGCCCGCGCATGTCGGGGCTTTCTGGGTTCCGGGGGGGGGGGGTTGGTGGCGCAGTGGTTCCCCGCAGCTGTTCCTGGTTGTCAAGCTGGGTCGGGGGCGGGATGTGAAGGTTGAGGCCCCCTGGGGTCTGGGGCCGAAGTTCCCCGTGGACTCCGCAACGGGCGGCAGAGGGGGTGGGTGGCCCGATCGCGGGCGGAGCTGCTTGAGGCCGCGCGCGTCGACTGGGTTTCAGACCCTGCGCGCCCCCTCGACGGCGAACCAGCCCGCCATCGAGCCAGACGAGCTGATGGTCCAGATGGTGGCGACCCTGGACGCGGCGACGGACATCAGAGAGGTAGAGCAGCCAGGGACTCTGAAGGCAGCGCTCGAGCTGTTGCCGAACGTCGCGACGTACTGTCGGCCAGGCTGCTTCGGCAGTTTCAAGGAACAGGTGAGCGCGAAGTTGGGCGAATACGCGAACGGTTACTTATTATGCGGTCCCCTCGCCGAGGCAGATGGTTCCGCGCAGACTTCCATGCTGGCCGATGCGAAGGCACTAGTCGCCATCGCTAAGACCAGCATCTCAGAGGAGGGTTCATTGTGGGCGACGGCAATGGATAAGATCAAAGAGAAGGAGTCCGAGATCAACCAGTTCAACGCCAGCAAGGGCTTGGCGCAGCTCGCGGTGCCCCTCAACGACGAGATCTTGATGAACCTCGATAAGGTCAAGGAGGTGCCCCCAGTGATTGGGTCCGTGCTGGCAGCTGGCGGCGGGGACGTGGAGGTCCACAAGGGTAGCGCTGCCACCATCTTCAGGAAGATCTACTCGGTGATCTGCCAGTCTGTCCGTGCCCCGACGGAGGCTGCACCGCACCTGCACAGATTGATGACGCTTACGGAGGCAAATTGGTTGGCTGGCGAATCGGCGGTGAAGCAGCCGGACGCAGCAGCGCGCTCAGTGGGCGCAGTCTGGCAACGACGACGCGGCGCGGCTGATCAAGGATGGGTCGGCGAACCTGGTGACGAGCATCCGTTCTTCGGTCAAGGCGATGCAGTCGTTTGGCTCGGCGGCAGAGATGTTCGGGGCGCAGTCGGACGTGGCGGCGGCGACCGAAGAGATGATATCAGCGGCCAATGTGTGCATGGCGATCGTGACCGATGCCATGAAGGCTGCGACGGCGGCGTTGAAGCCGTTCGCGACGGGCACGGCGTTCGACCAGCCTTGGGGCCAGGACCTGGGCGCGGGCGCGGACATGGGCTCGGTTCTGAAGCGCGTGGAGGAGACGATCTTGCAGATCGACGGGGGCTCCTTCCAGATGCGGATCGACGCTGTCCTCGACGCGAAGAGGCGCGCCGCGGGGCGGGCGCAGGTCTTCGAGGCGCAGCAGGACGAGGAGGCGACCAAGGAGGCGGTCGACGCGATGAGGGTGGCCAGCGCCACCAAGTTCACGGCGCTGGTGATGCGCGCGTTCAAGACGCGCGCTGGCCAGGCGCCGAAGATGCGCCGCATGGCGAAAGCGCATCGCAAGGAGGCGGCGGAGGCCGACGCCGTCGGCGCCATGCGCAAGGACGCGGTGGAGTGGGCCGCGAAGCTGGCGTCGCTCAAGGGCAGCACCAAGGGGGAGTTCAGCTGGCGGTGCGACGTCGCGACGTCGCCAGCTACAGCGCTGGGATCAGCGCCCGCGAGGCTTTCTCGCCAACGCTTGCACGCGGCAACATGCCACCTCCTCCTCCACGTATACATGCCAATCCGCCCCGTTCTCATTCCCACCGTGTTACCATCAGCCTCCCCCGCATCATCCTCGTCTGGCGTTCCCGCCAATGAGTTCGCAGATGTCCGGATGCTGTTTCGCCCCGTGTCCAAGTGGGAAGAGAAGGGCGATGAGGGGGGGGGGGGGGGGGGGCGGGGGGTGAGGGGAGGAGGAACGTGGATGGGGGGGGGGGGGGGGGGCGAGGAGGAGGAGGAGGAGGGGGAGGGGGAGGCGGAGGGGGAGGAGGAGGAGGATGGGGAGGGGGATTCGTACAACATGGTATTGTTGTTACGAATGACGCTTCGCGTATATCCGCCAGCCCTTCCTTAGCCGGCCGCCTCTGACATCGGCGGCGTTGGGCCCAGTGCGAATCCTCGACCTGGCGACCGTGACCTTGCATGCCTCTTCAGGGGGGGTGGGGGCCGCTGGGGGCTACTTGGAGAGAGTTTGGGTCCTCGTGGGCCATGGCAGTGGCATCGGGCGCCATGATTGGGCTGTCTAGGGGTCACCTTGGGGCTGCGAGGGCGTTGCTTTCCATGGTCCTGTAGGTCAGCGGTTGGTCATGGGGTGGCGGCGTTGGCTCGCGAGCCCCTCTCATGCAATAGGCGGTGCCCTTGCGCTCCCCCCGGGAGTGCCTCTGGGGTTCATTACAGACGCACTTCAAGTATGATTGGTGGTGTCTCGGGGACCTCTCGGAGCCCCGCGCGGCGATTTTATGGCCATCTGATCGGCGTGTTGTTAGGTTGCGGCAAACACTGTTGTTGAATCCGAGTAGTTGCATCGGAGGAGCGCAATTCTCTCGCGCGCCCGCGCCGCCCATTTATTGCAGTGAGAGCCCGCGCCACGTCGATAGAGCCGCCGACCGAGAATGGCCATGACATGGTTGCGCATTCGAGCTGGCTTGCGCCTCGCCCGCCCGCGCGACCCCCCTGCCGCGGCCCGCCCGCACGCCCGAACCGCCCGACCTGCCCGCGTGGGTCCACCCGCTCAGTTGTTCGAGAGGTGATCCGCCTGTTATGACGTCACGCTCGCGCGGCTCGCCTGCCACGCCTGCTGCGCCGTTGACGACCAGGGCGGAGAGCGCCCCCACCCCCAGCGCACCACCTCTGGCGTCGGGGAGGCGTCACGCCTGCCATGCTTTGCGGACCTGCAGCGCATTGCGCGCCCGCCCCCAGCGCACCCCTTGCGCCGTCGAGGAAATGCCACGCCCTGAGGGCCTGCGACGCATAGCGCCCTCACCCCCAGCACACTCTCTGTGGCGTGGAGGAAATGCCACGCCTGCCAGGCCCTGCGAGCCTGCAGCGCATGGGGGCCTCGGTGAGGGCCCCCCCCTGCGCACTCCCTCTGGTGCCGAGAAAATGTCACGCTTGCCGCGCTCCCCGATCATGGCGCGCATAGGGGGCGTGGTGAGAGACCGTCCCCTTGCGCGCCATCTCTGGTATCGAAAAGGTGCCGCGCCTGCCGCGCTCTCCGACCTTGGCACGCATAGGTGCAGCGGTGGGATACCACCCCTTGCGCACCCTCTCTGGCGCCGAGACAGTGCGACGCCCGCCGCGCTCTCCGACCCTGGCACGTATAGAGGCCGTGCTGAGAGGCCACCCCTTGCACCCCCATGCTGGTGTCGAGAAACATGCCGCGCCAGCCACGCTCTCCGACCCTGGCACGCATAGGAGTCGCGGTGGGAGACCGCCCCCTGCGCATTCCTTCTGGTGCAAAGCAAATACAACGCCTGTCACGCTCCCCGACCCTGGCACGCACAGGGGCCGCGGTGAGGACCACCCCCTGCGCACCCTCTCTGGCGTCGAAGAAATACAACGCCTGCCACGCCCCCCGGCCCTGGCACGCATAGGGACCGCGGTGAGAGACCACTCTTTGCGCATCCTCTCTGGCGTCGAGACTGCATAACGCCTGCCACGCCCTCCGACCTCCCCAACACGCCTCGTTATGGCGTCGGGGAGAAACCGGGTGTCACGCTCTGCGGGCCCGACACGGCTAGCGCTCCCGCCCGCAGGTCTCCTTTTTGTGGTCCTTGTGGTGCCGAGAAACTGCAGCGCTTGCCACGCTTTGCGAACCCGAAGCGGATAGCGCCCCCACCTGCAGCTCACCCCCTGAGGTGTTGAGAAATTGCCGCGTTTGCCTCGCTTTGCACGCCCAAAACGGATAGCGCCCCCACCCGCGGCTCACCGCCTTGTGGTGTCGAGAAGTTTCGCCTGCCACGCTTTGCGAGCCCAAGACGGATAGCGCCCCCACTCCTGGCTCACCCCATGTGGTGTCGAGAAAAGGCCACGCTTGCCAGCCCGATACGGATAGCGCCCCCATCTGCAGCTCACCCACTGTGGTGTCGAGAAATTGCAACGCTCACCACGCATTGCGAGCCCGAAACTGACAAGGAGACCACCCCCATTGCACCCCCTCGCGGTGCGCATGTGTTGTGTGGTGTGCGTGTCATGTGTATGATGCGTGTGCGGCTGTATCTGGACGTGTGTCCCATGTGGGTGCCCAGTTTGTGGCGCATACGTCGTGTCGTGGGTGTCTGATGCAGTGAACACGCCAGGCGTGCATTGGCGTTGTTATTCTGTATGTCTGATTTGTGTGTGCGCGTGCGGGTGGAGGTGAGGAGGAGAGGATGTGTCTGAGAAGCGCAGGTGACGCGGTTGGGAAGAAAACCATAATCCCACTTAGCACGTGGAAAACAAGGACACCAACAAGGAATGGCCGACACGGAATGGCCGATTGCGTTATTGGGGGCGTGTCGTAGCGCGCCAAGGGCACCAGCCATAGGGCACCGATTGGGAACCGCCGACTGCGACACAGAGGGCGACTCCTGGGCCGCCATAGTGCGCCGATCGCGAACGGCTGAAAGACTGTGACAGCCAACCGTAGGGCAACCGCGCCCAAGGCATTGGCCATAGGGTCCCTCCTGACTGTCCCCTCCCATGTTGACCCAGCCGGGCGCCCGCTCGCGCCCCGACAGGTTGTGGAGAACACCGTGGAAGGCCTGGAGAGGTTCGGCTGCTGCAGCATCGAAGGCCCCTTGGGGGGGGGGCAGGGGAGGAGGAGGGAGGGACCCATACCTCCGACGTTGTGAGTTTCTTTCCATCCCTGCGTGCTTCCGTCGTGTCGCCTTCTACGGAACAGGTTCGCACCATCGGACAATAGCATGTGCCCAAAGCGGTCAAGTTGTCCCAGGGAAGTTGTCGAGAGTTCTTTGGCAAACGGATTGAACAATACGTTTGAGTCTTCGGGAGCATCGAGGGATTTTAGCGTTTCCATTTTCCCTTGGGTCTCCTTCGGGGCCCCACGTCGCACCGGCTCGATCTGCCTGGAAGTCGCAGTCGGAACATTCTCCCAGACGGGTACAGGGGGTGGATAAGGTTTAAAGATAATCAATCGAAGTCGCGAGATTCACATATGCACACCAACTTCGAACGTCGGGCGGGCTTTGCGCGCAGAAGGGTGTCTGAAAGGGCTCGGTGCTGACGGAAAGATACCGTCCGCGGACGTCCAAAGCTCAAGCGCGTGCAACGGCACACGCACGGCACGGGGAGGATTTGGCAGGCGGCCATTGGGAGACGGTGGGAGGCCCGGGGCGCCTTTATTTGCCCGACCTGCTTCCTCCCTTTTCCCCGTGATTTCCGTCTGATTCCCTCGCCTAACCTCGTCCTGACCACATTTCTTTTGCTTCCGCGTCCTCCCAGTGGGGACGGGGGGCGCAGGAGGCCAGTGTCTCCGCTACATCAGCATTGTCAATGAATTTTGGAGGTCAGCCGTCCGACGTCGAGAGGAGCTCTTGTCTCGGCATGCTGGCGTCGGGGCAACGCCTTCATATTGCCTGACATCTCTGCTCGACGCGGGCGCTGCTGTGGTGCAGATCTGGATCGCCCAATCTTTCAGGGCGGTTCAGGCTATTCGCCATGCGATTCGCTCCAGGCAGCGGTCCCGAATCGAGCAGCTGGACCTGAAAGCCTTTCATGTTTCTGCCCTCTTCGCTCTTCCTCCCCCATGTTATTCAGTAGTTTCGTTCACTCCTCCAGCCCATTTTGCATCGCTGGCACCTGCCTGCGTGCTCGCGGATGTTGAGAAGACTGGATGCCGGTCGTTTCCTTGAGTTGTCGCGTGAAGCTTCGTACTCGTCACGCCGTTCGTTTACGTCCATCATTGTCGCGTCTTGGCACGCAGCGGATTGCGACCCTCCGACTCGGTCGCGCTTCACTTTCGCGCGCCCAGAGTGTTTCTTCATGTCATCGGTTGTTGCTGGCGCCTCGAACCCCTCACGGGCATCAGGCCCGCCCTTTATACGTATTCCCTGTTTTCGCCCGCCGTCATGCTCTCAGTTGCGCACACGGCACGCTCATCGCGTCCTTCGCGACCGAGTCCGATTTGTGGATGTCTCCGATTCTTGTCATTATTCAGATGTCCGGGTCTCCGACCCATTCTCCCCGCTTTTTGTCCCTGCATCGGCTTTGGGTAGCGTCGTCTTCCCATCGTGACCTGGGTCAGCAGTTCACCTCGCCGCTTTCATTTGTGGGATGGCTGACGGGCTAGCACATCTTCTACGCTCTCCGCGTTGTTAATTGGGCCTGGGCCGCCGTCGCAGCGTTTATGCTGTCTCTTCGGGTGGTCATGCGCCGCGGGCTTGCAGATGATGCGGGCCAGCGTGGCGGGCACTCGGGTTTCTGCTAGCTGATTGATGCACCATCTTCCTGCACTCCGTGCCTTGGCGGGCCGACGTCTTAGTTTCTGCATTTCTGCGCGCTAGCCTGGCACGACTTACGCGACGCGCTTCCGACTCCGCTAAATCTGTGAAGACTCGTAGGTTCAACCTTCATTCGCCTCCTGCTGCGGCAGATCTTCGCTTGACCCGATTCGGCCAAGGGCTCTGGTCCGTGCTGCTCGAAGGACCTGCCCTCTCCGCTTCTACCAGTCGCAGCTGGCACGTGGCTCAGGGTACGCATCAGGAATGCAAGGACAGATACTTCACTATGGTTATCTTGCTCCCTCCATGGATCAAGATGTGCAGCAACAGGCCCCAGGCCTAGTACTGCCGCCGACCATGAGGGAGCTGCGTCCTGATATCCTAGCCACACAAGGCGCAACAGGCCAATTTGGCTATGCAGGCTATTCGCCAGCGCCGAAATCAGGATCGTCAGGCCAACATAATGCTGAGCCGCGCAGGGCAACCTGCTAATCGCAACATAGCAGGGACACCTGCGAGCAGTCCAGCCATGGTTGCATCAATGCAGCCACCAACGGTATCGCCTATTCGGTTCGAGGCTGGTGAATCCACCCTGGAGCGTCAGACGCGTATCAGGCCATCGGCAACACCGCCCATCACCAGTGACGACGACTTCGGTGAGTGTGCCATATGCCTGGACCAGTTCATGATCCACGACAAGGTCTGGCGCCTCCAGTGCGGCCACATATTCCACGTACGATGCTGGGATCGAATGGTACACGCTCATGTGGATAGACAGTTGGCTGGGAACATGGAAGGTTCCGCAAGTGAGGCCCCCTGCGCTATATGCAGGGGTGTTAGCCTCTACTGCCGAGTTTCACTACGCCTTTGCCGGATATCAGGAGTCATTCAACCGTCATGAAGATATACTCCGAGGGGCGAACGAGCTCAGGGACCTCCGTGAAGAGCTCAACCGCGTTACGGCGATGATGACGGGCACCGCGGCAGTCTCGATGACGACACCAGCGGGGCAACCTGCATCACCAGCCAACGCTGGGCTAGTAACGGAGGCAACCGCACTTGCAGGGACACCTGCTATAGACATGCCCCTGCCATTGGTGGCAGAGACCGACGACAACGCAGGGACACCTGCTAGATCAGCTCCACCTTCGGTGCCGGTGAACGATACGTGGTTGAGGCGCACGGAAAGGGCTACCGACAGGAGCTCTCAATGGCTTCAGTCTTCGTGCGCGTACATGCCATGTGGGCGAGATCTTCGTCCACGCAGTCAGCGCAGGACGGAGAGCCTTGTAAACATGCGCAGTAGCAATAGTGGGATATCCGAACGCGACACGCTGCATACGGTATTTAAGATAAATATTGATGGCCAGATGGGCATTCGCGCGGATGAGGACACGGTCCTGAACTTACCCACTGCCTCCACATCACGCCCATATACGCACGACGAATGTCCTACAGCCTGGATCTTTGAAAAGAACCCTACTGCGGAAGAAGAGGCTCGTGGGTATATGAATGCTTAGACATCGCGCAGGAAACGATTGGGTATTGGAGCAAGGGCGCAGCAAAAGGCTTGCGTGGTACGACAGTGTCTGGAGTTCCTGGACTGTGGTGAACGCCATGAGCTAGCCTTGGCTGCTAACAGTGGAAATATGATCACTGGTATGTTGATTATTCTCTTGGAAATTGGCAGTGGTACGATACAATTGGATTAAAGGCGGCACGGACCTTTGAACAGGTATCACGCTCCCGCGGACGCGCCATTAAAAGGCTTTACGTCACGAAGAGGCTTTACGTGTCAGGAGCGGGACATGGCGCCGCGATTTGTGATCAATTTTTGCACTGCAAGAACGCACGCAAAGAATGGGGAGATCCTGCGGGGCAACCTGCCTCGCCGAGACTCGACGCGTACTCAGCAAATGTAGTTGAGGGTTCTGGGGGGAATCTCCCTGCCAGCCTGGGTCTGAGGAGCATGTCCAACACGGGGGCCATCCTGATCCTTGAGCAGGGGTGCGAGAAGATGATCATCCCTGGCGTGGAGATGCGCAAGGTTCTACTCGGGAAAGGTGCCAGGGCACTCGACCCGATGAAAACATCTTCCGGGCATCTGGCACTCAAGGCCGACGAGTACGAGGTGGTCACTGAGGATCAAGGGTTGATGTCGCTTACTGCCGCCGCCAATCCTCAGCGCGAAGAAGCTCCATTGCTGGTCAAGGAGGTGCCCGATCCAGAGCCAATTGCAGGGGCGCGTGCTGTGAATGATGTTCACGCATGCATGATGTCACAGGATGCGAAGGGCATCGGTTTCTCTATCAACGACGAGACTTTCACGTTCACGATCCAGTCTTTGGCGAACAACGCCTTGAAGACATTGTGTCGTAGTGTGTCCATTGGGGCTACCCCGACCTCGGCCGACAAAGACCTCGCCCTCCCGAATTTGCAGTCGAAGATCTATCAGGCCATCCACGAGGAGGGTACGAAGTGGACGCCTCCCGACGCACAGGCAGGGGCACTTGCGGAAAGGGATGATGCCGCTGAGAAGTTTGATATTTTTCTTCGAGCAGCGGCTCTGCAGCGCAGCATGTCACAGGCATTTGGGCGCCCCCATCGCCAAACGAGCGACGGGGGCAGGCGCGCGCCACGGCCGCTCGCGCTTGCCCGGACAGGCCGAACATTCAGGTGCTGTCAGCAAGCGCGGGGAAACCTGCATTCTTTTCCCAGGCGCCGGCCGTGCGTGCCAGGGGCCGCGGCAAGCCTGGCTGCGCGGCTGCCGCGAGAAGCAGTGGGCCCGGCTGCGTGGCCGCTGCAGACAAATAATGATTGTCGCATCATTATCATTCTCGTGCATTTGTCATCGAGGATATACGGACAGCTTGCGCTGAACTCCGAGCCCGTGGATACATGTGTGATCGTACTACACATACAGAGGTAATGACCTTCACTGGTACACAGTATTTCGGCGCATTACTCTCGGGCGATTTCCAACTGTTGCGGGCGGCAGCGCCTGCTGACTGGCATGCGAGGCTGCCCGGCAAGAGGGCGCGGCCGCGCAGCCAGCGCATCCAGAATATGATGCCCAAGGCTTGGGCTCTACGCATGACTATTGTACTTGTGGGGCCACCAGGATGCTTCTGGAAACAAGGTCCCATGCGAGATGCTATTGAAGATGTTGATTTACAAGTCATGCGCATGCGTTTCTGCCACTTCGGCCTCAAGTACGACCGCGCTAACACGTTGCCCAGCCGATCATATCTGCAAGTGGCGACTGCGCGCGCGCGCCCCCGCCGACTCATGGCGATGCGCATGCAACGTAGCAGGGTAACCTGCATAACCTAC